GGTCGAATGATGAAGACGTGCACAACTGAGTGGTGATGCACGGAGCGGCCGAGTCATGATGTGCGAGGTGATCGAATAATGAAGACGTGCACAACTGAGTGGCAACGCGCGGGGCGGCCGAGTGGTGAAGACGTGCACAACCGAGTGGCGACGCGCGGGGCGGTCGAGTGAGGATGCGCGAGGTGGCAGAGTGAAGGACTAAGTGTCCAGCCAATTGGCTGAAATGGTCTTCGAAGGACTTGGTCGAATGCTTTCGAAGCTAATGTAGCGATGAGGTCGGCGTAGTGCGGTTGCGACACAACAAGACCGGCGTGACAACTGAGTTTGAGTAGGAATGAAGATGGCGTGCAGAGCGTCTGGGTGGTTATAAAACTTGTCAAAGTGGCGGATCAAATGTACTTGTTGAAGTGAAGGATCTGACTGGTGATGAAGTACTCGACTACTCAGGAGAGTGTCATTCCAAATGAGATGCAGCCCCCGATTGCGGCGTAGCCCCCGAGCATACTACAGGCTTCGGCAAACGGACATGTTGGAATGCCAGAAATATAGTTTTGAATGGATGATTTGCAATTCATCGAGTCGGACTCGGGTAAAGATGAGGAGAAGCTTCCGAGTGATGCTCGAAAGAGGCAAACTCGCAAAAGAGTAAAGTGTGTGAAGTTTAATTATAAAAGGGACTTATCTGTCTCATGCCTGACGAGGTCTATATCATTGATACGATGAAGATGATTCCACAGAGGGGTTGGCTGGATGTGTTTGAAGTCAACAGAGCGACAAGGTCGGTGTTGTGGTGCGCTAGGATCGGTACGGTGACCGAGTCCGAGCAGCATGAAGTTGGCCCATAAGGCCGTCGAGTGATCGCGTAACTTGTGTAAAAAAATGGTGCAAGCCAACGGAATAATTTCTCGAAGAAATTTGATGTGTGCTGAAATGATTTGTGTTTATAACACCCATAGACACCCGAGGTCAGAATGCTGAAATGATTTGTGTTTATAACACCCATAGACACCCGCTGGGAGTGCAAGGGGCTTGCTGGTTAACCAGCAAGAGTCTGAAAGAGCGAAGGATCCGTTCGAACTTGTCAAAGCGACGGATCCGACGGAACTCATTGGAATACTGGCTCAAATAAAGTGGAAGTGTAGTGTTTCGACTGAGTTGCAGCCCCAGAGGACCGATGCAAATTCGAAATGAAGAACGACACATGGTGTTCGTGAAT